ACGAGATACTGTCGGCCGGAACTGTAAACTCAAACTCATTGCCAGATGTGCTTTGATTTTCATCAGATTTAATGCATTTATTGTCAACATTTTGATGATTCTGTTGGTCAATGGCAGCGATCCGGCTAACAGTCAAGCGCCGTATGTCTTCCATATTGAGGATACAGTCGTAATCCCTTTCCAGTGTCTGCTTCACCTCCACTGACATCAATGAATCCATTCCCAGTTCTCCTAGTGTTGTATTCCTATCCAAACTCGTGTGGTCTTTGAGGCCCAGTATATGTGCAATCGTTTTCATAAGATTACCCTTTTTATTGGTGGCGTCAATCTTGTGGTCAGCCCTCACCACACTCGACATGACTGAGTGGTGCTCCTGAAGGCAGTGGTCAAGTGTTGCCAAACAAGAGTTCATGCGTTGGGGTAATGTTCCGCCGATTACTGTCTCATTACCGCCCATAGTCTCGGCCACAACTCCCACATCACCGATAGCACCCCATTGGATGGCCAGTCCGTGTAATCCCTGCGCCCGACGCCTTTCGCAGACTCTTTCCATCACAGAATTGGCGAACCCATAGTTACTCTGACCGGAGTTCCCGCGCCCACAGCTTATGGACGAAAAGCATACAAAGTAATCCATTTGTGGACACAACTCTCGACACACGACATCCAGGTTTCGAGTTGCCTGTGCTTTGGGGGCCAACACTTTGCGGAATTGTTCTGCTGTTTGGTTGTCAAAGAGGGCGTCCGACAAAACCATCGCTACGTTGAATACACCGCTCACTCCTCCCTTACCACAGCTAAGGGCCAAACGCAACAACTCTTGAGTTTGTGTTAAATCCGAAACATCTTTTGTCGATATCTTAACAGTGGTTCCCATGTCTTCAAAATGCTGGACACGATATTTCTGATACGAGTCGCGCAAACCTTGTCTTGAAGTAAGAATCAAACTCCTGGCCCCTCTCTCTACCATCCAATTGGCTAACTCTAGTCCAAAACCACCCAAACCGCCGACTATTATATAAGTTTTATTACTTTTGAATACAGTTCTGGGCGTTGAGTCATAAGTTAGGACCTGATCTGCAAAGGGATTAATTTGCGGATCTGTCTCTTCGTCTCTAACTTTGAGCACAA